CTGTACAGCCCAAATATTTTTAGGATGTCCTTGACATTGTAAAAACCCAGAAAGGACAGATTTTACTCTAGTGAATAACACTGTGTTGTTTTACACATGGTTAAGAGCTTTGTTCACCCAAAAGACATGAAAGCCAATGTCAAAAAATATTTATATCCTTTACAAGGAAGAATTTCAGTAATATTTTAATATCCTTTTATTGGAATCAGTCCTTTGTATAAGATTATGTAATGGCAGTCAGTGGCGTATGTTTATGTCCTGCATTTTTACAGATCAATAGCAGGTAGGCTTTTGACATGTTTTTCAGGGACACAAGTTATTGGAGTGATCACCAGGATCACATTCAAAGTCTTTGTTATATTTTCTTTGTTTGGTCCATTTCTTCTTGATTTTCTGTAAGACAGACTTTCATTTAATCCTTAGAAACAGGTTTCAGAGCTAAGACTGTAGCCTCAGTAAATGTCGAAAGGTGTTGAAGCTAGAACACATTCTGGCTATTCAGTTATAAAGTCTAGCTGGAAACTTTAGGTAATACCTTTCAGTGCCAGATCTTATTGTTTCATTATATGTAAGGGAAAAGTTTTCGATATATCTGGAATTTGGGGGACTAAAGTGGAAAATAACAGCTTTTAGACTTCATTTTTCCCAACAGTGGAATGATGGATTCCCAATGAATCCATTTAGAAAACTGGCAAATTATTAAGACAGAGCACAAGCCTCAACATGGAAAGAAAATTAATCACTTTACCTATGATGTCAAGAGTTACTGAGATGCTTTGGTGGTGGGCTGTTACAGTTTGAATAGGGATCCCGCCACCAAATCTTGTCCAGCATTATCTTTCAAGCTCAGTCATCACTGGAGTGGAAGGCTCAGCCTTACATGAGGGAATGTGACAGTGTCCCTCATCAGTGACTTCACTTATTTTCAGGGGGTTGGGAGTGTGGGAGCCCATTTTTTTTTAGAATTCCATTAACAGTATTCTTTCCCATTGGTTTATATTCACCTGTGGATATAACTCCCCCTCTTGAATCTTCTCTTCATCTTCGGGTTCCTGTGACCTCACAGATACTGATCAGTCAAGGAAAACAATTTGAAAGCTTCATGTAATTAACTGGGCTTGTTGTTGTACTTATATTTGCTGGCCGCTTTAGACTGTTAATTTGCCAAAATCTCTAAGACAAAAAATTTATATCTAGAGTAGGCCAATTAATGAAATAAGTACCTAGTAACAGTCCATATTTCCAAGAATATAATCCTTTACAAACCATAATCTTCCATTTTATCTCATATAGATATTTTTCTAACATCCCACAACCAGTAATAACAGTCTGAAGCTTTCTGGATTTGTCATCACTTTTTCCTGTTTCCATTGTTGAATAATCCATATATTAGGACAATACTACCCTACAAAATCAATTTTAAAAACATTGCTTTTATTAAATTATGTAGTATTTCATACAGAATATCTCAAACAATCTGAATCATCTTTATAGAGCCCCACCACCACAAGTCAGCTATAATTCTGATGGGCTTTCCTTTATATGTGACTTGTGTTTCTTTTGCTGCTTTCAGTATTCTCTCTTTGTTCTGTACATTTAGTGTTTTTACTATGATATGCCATGGGGAGTTTCTTTTCTGGTCCTGTCCATTTGGTGTTCTATGTCCTTCCTCTATGCCTATGATATGTAGATTTGGTCTTTTCACGGTGTCCCACATCTGCATATATCATTCTTGTGTTTAAATTTTTTTCATATTCTTTGCTTTCAACTTTATTTTCCAGTGTCGATATTCTGTTTTCCATTTCATTCATTCCAGTGATGAGGCTTTCCCCTGTTGTTTCAAGTTGGTTTATTGAGTTTTCACTTCCTTCTTCATTTCAGCCCATTTTCTTTAATGTTTCTATCTCTTTTGTGAATTCATTCATGTTTATCCCTATTTTCTTTTAGTTCTTTGATTTGTTTGTTCTTTAAATTCATTGAATTTCTTGATCATGTTTATGACTGTTCTTTTAAACTCTGTGTCCTGGGCTATCTCTAGGGGGTTCTCCTTGTAGAACTCTTCTACAGCACAGGTGGAGTGTGGTGGAGACATAGTGTTTTGGCTTTCCATTTCATTATTTTTTCGCTGTGATTTTGGCATGTGAATTTCTTTTGTTGTTTGTGATTCTGGTATGAAAATTATGTTGAAGTTTGCTTCTGTTTGTATTAGTGGTGTGCCTTGGTCATTTTCTTATTGGTTATGTAAAGCTGGTTGGTCTAGGTTTCAGGTTCTCTCAGGTTTATTTTGGAGGGAACTGGCCGTTTTAGATCAGCTACTCAGGAGCTCCCACAGAAGTCCAAGTCAAGTTCCAGTCAGGTATACTCAGGTTTCCTTCTAAGGTTTGGATCCCTATTAGGAGGTACTCAGAGCACAATATAGGGGAGTCCCGATTTTGGGACTCTCAGGCAGTTTGCTGAATTCTCAGCCCATATGCCAGAGGGAGGCCAGAACAGGCACTCTTAGGTGACCGGCCTACTGAGATCTCAGTCCCTACACCTATGGAAGTCATAACAAGTTCTCTCAGGCTGTCTGCTAAGATCTCAGCCTTACCCTACCATAGGGTAGAGGTCTGCCCTGGGGTCATGGGAGGGGCCTCATGTTATCCAAAAATTTAGTCCTTTAAAGCAGACACTTAGAAATTGTTGGTGTTAAAAGCAATGGATTTCTCTGGTGTAGTATATGTGGTGCACCAGAACAAATGCAGAGAACTATGTATCCTACAGCAGAACTTGGCTAATGGAAGATCACCACCCATCAATTGTTTCTCTACCACAAATTCTGTTACCAGAAACTATGCAATGAAGAATGCTGGAGAGGAACAGAAGCAACAGATGTATGTGCCACGAAAGGGCTTCAGTAGATGAGTGCACTATAGTGTTGACAGTCCAGCAATGTCTATGTGCAGGATAGAGAGGACAACCCAGAAGCTGCACAGTGGACACAGCAGGACATCTCAGCAGTACTGTTCTGGCAGAGATCTGGAAAACTCCTAGAGTTGTTCTATTTAGTCCATGTTGGAAGGCTAATGGTGCTGCAGTCTGTCACTGGAGGATTGTAGCAGCAACAAGCGGCAGCCACAGGGGTAGACACACTCAGCAGAAAGAAAACGCATGAAGGCAGGAAACACTGCTTTTTCCTCAAACATCTTTATTTAGGTGCCAATCACATGTTTTGCCTATTCACAGTCAAAGCCTAGCTCTAGATGTTTTGACAGAACACATATGTAAGCCAATTCATCCCTTAAGCACTGGCAAATACACCACCTATCTATGCCAATCAGTGACAGGTGCATATATACCCTCATAAGTGTGGACACTGTCACAGGCCTCTTACAAGCATTTCCAGGCAAATGAGGAACAGGCAAAGCCACCAACAAGGCTTTTCTCCAACTCAGTGTTATGTAATTGACGATGACCATACTCCTCATTTCACAAACACTCATGCACAGACCTCAACTAAAGGCAGTCAGCCACAATCAGTCCTACCTCACAAGCCTATTAGGTTATTTTAATGGGTTATTAGTAGCCAGGTGTGTTGGCAGAGGCATTTAACAGCAGCACTTGGATGGCAGAGGCAGGTGAATATCTGTCCCACAAACCATGAAGGCAATTGCCACCACTGTTGGTTACATGCTGAAACTAGATGGTAAGCAACTATTGCTGAAGACATCACATGCTTGGCTTGCAGAACATGGAGAAATGATGCTGGAATAAGGTGGAAGCTTCCTCCATTCTAGCTGGCTTGCATGGTGCCAGGTGCAATGCAGATTGCTGGCTGAGAACTGCCACCAAGAGTCCGTTCAATTATAAACCCTGTGTGACCAGTACCAATAGGACAGGCAGAATATGCCTCCTGGTGCAACAGTGACACAACTACTGTTTGAGTTCAACAAGCAGCTTTCAGATTGGATTTACAGCCCACTCCACAGTAGGAAATTTGTGTCTGATATAGGCACAAAACGTGTGACTGGAGAGGTCATAGGCTCAGTAGGAAAGCAATTGCTATTCTTCTGTTAGGTGGATGTGATGTGCGTCTCAAAATCCCTTCTCAACATTTCAGTTCATGTCTTATAGGTCACTGCTATTGTCAGCTGTCGCGAGCCGGGACTCTGTCCAGCAGAGTCCAGGAAAGACGACACAGACACCAAGGTGAGGTTCAAGCTTCTGTTTCTCTTTCTTCCTTTATTCTCTCTTATTATCTCTCATGTTCTCTTCACTATGATGCTGTCTCTGTCTCCTCTGTCTGTGTCTCTGTCTGTCTCTGTCTGTCTCCTATTCACACACGTGCAGCGGGCAGGCAGAGTGGCAGCTCACTGGCCACGTAGCAAGATCATCAGGCTGGCAGCACCTGTTTTGGGGCTCACCATACTTCAGAGTTGGGGTAAACAAGCGGGATTCACAAGCCTTGGCAATCAGCCAAGAGTTGAAGTAAACAGCACGAGGTTTGGCAGCCAGCCAGGGCTCCATCTTTGGCTGGCTCGGCTGTGCTCGCTTCCCACAGTCAGCTGCAGTCGATCATGGAAAGAAACTTCCTTTCACAGTGGATGGTATACCACAAAGGCAATGATGAAGATCCTGAGAAAACATGAGTATTGCTTGGGCACAGTGGCCTAATGTTAGCCATAGAGGACATTTGTATCTACACCCTCCACCCACAAGGATCTAAAAGCATTACAAAAAGAAAAGTAAGAGTCAGAGGAAGGGGTGTTGTCGAGGAAATTTTCTCTGAATTGATGCAGTCCCTCTCAAAGGGAGGCTTAAGACTCAAGAAGTAAACACAAGTTCTGGGATGTTCAAATTTCAAGATTCCCAAGGCTATTCCACAAGTTATTTCACAGTAAATAACTGTGAAAAGAAGAAATTTCCCAACTAACCAAGCTGCCTGCCAGTTGGGCAGAGATCTCAGATTGCAGCTTCCACGAATCATCACTTAGACTGGTTGGGCTTTTTGGTGATGCAGCTGTTTGTGCTTGTCCATGCTCCTCGAAGTAACCTCATAAAATCCTTGGTTCACCTAATTGGACTTTGGTAGAATTATTTTGTGTCATTAGTTTCCTGTCTCAGGTGAGTTAACATTTGCTCAGGTCTCCCCAGGAAAAATCTCACACAACACTGTTGCTGTTGGGAACTGTGACAGCTTGATCCTTGCCCCTGTTGTTTATATTCTGAAAGGCTTGAGAGTTGAATTTTCCCTAACTGAAGTGAACTCATATAAAACATTAACAATACTTGGATTTTACATTTTGAGGAATTTTCTCCCATGATTATTTGACATTGAAAGTGGTATGAAATTGCTCTGCCATGTAATTTAGGAAGTTTAACAATTATAGGCATCATTCACATTCACGTTCTTTGCCACAGTTAATTTCCTCTTGTAACTGTAAGGAACTATGAAATGTAAAGGTTTCCAGTCTTTGCACTGAGGGTTTTTCTCCAGTATGAATTTTTCATGTAATGTAAGATAAATATACAAATGTAGGATTTGCATTGCTTTCATTCATTTCGTTTTGGTCCAATATGAATTTTCACATAACGATAACTATGTCATCTAAAGGCTTTACCACACTGTTTGCATTCATAGATTTACTAAAATATGAATTCTTTCATGGAAACATGATTGACTTCTAAAGGCTTTTCCACACTGTTGGTAATCACAGGGTTTTGTGTAGTATGAACCTGTCATGTCTCTATCCCTGTGGCATCTGAAGTCTTCAACTCATTTATATTCATACGGTTTTTCTCCAGTATGTGTTTTTTCATGTCTATGAAGATGACTGTTATGTCCAAAGGCCTTACCACACTGTTTACATTCATATGGTTTTTCTCCAGTATGAATCTTTTTATGTAACTTAAGATATCTGTGCCATCTAAAGGCTTTACCACATTGGTTACATTCATATGGTTTCTCTCCAGTATGAATTTTTTCATGTAACTTAAGATATCTCTGCCATCTAAAGGCCTTACCACATTGTTTACACTCATATGGTTTCTCTACTGTATGAATTTTTTCATGTAACTTAAGATATCTGTGCCATCTAAAGGCCTTACCACATTGTTCACATTCATATGGTTTTTCCCCAGTATGCATTTTCTCATGACTTTGAAGATAACTGTTACCTCTAAAGGCTTTACCGCATTGTTTACATTCATATTGTTTTTCTCTAGCATGAATTTTTTCATGTACTTGAAGGTCACTGTATCCAATAAAGGCTTTACTGCATTGTTTACATGCATAGGGTTTCTCTCCAGTGTGTGTTTTTTCATGCCTTTGAAGATTACTCTTACATCCAAAGGCCTTACCACATTGTTTACATTCATACGGTTTTTCTCCAGTATGTCTTCTTTCATGTAACAATAAGGAATTACGAAATGTAAAGGCCTTACCACATTGCTTACACTCATATGGTTTCTCTCCAGTATGAATATTTTCATGTAACTTAAGATATCTCTGCCATCTAAAGGCCTTACCACACTGTTTACATTCATATGGTTTCTCTCCAGCATGAATATTTTCATGTAACTTAAGATATCTCTGCCATCTAAAGGACTTACCACACTGTTTACATTCATATGGTTTCTCTCCAGTATGCATATGAAGATAAGTGTTATGTCTAAAGCCTTTACCACATTGTTTATATTCAAGTAATTTTTCAACACTATGAATTCTTTCATGTCCTTGAAGAGAAGTGGAAGAACTCAACTGTTTCCCACATACATTACATTGATAATGCTTTCTTACAGTTTGAGTTCGTCCAGATGTGTGAAGTGAACTGCCATCAGCAGAGGCCTTTCTATATTCTTTGTATCTATAGAGTGGTTTTTCACTGTGTGTTTCCTGATCTATTACCAACAAACGCACAGTGTAAGTTCTCATATGTCTTTGACAGCTTGTGAGAGAGTTAGAGTTCTGGGGCTTGTTTCCATACTCCTCATGCTCACATGGTTTGTGCTCAGAGTGAGAGGTCGGATGGTTATGGAAGAGTGAATGACACATGGAAACCTTCCCACACACATTGCTTTCACATGGTGTTAGGTCACTAAAAATGTTCATGCTCATATTGGCATTTGCTATCCACGTGAAAGTTTCTCCACTCTGAAGATCTTCTTTATGCTCACAGAACATCTTGACCATGGAACTTCTGGAAAAATGACAAGTATATTAGTAAAAGGTGATGTACTACTATTTATTACAAAGTGTAGGTCACATACTGTTCCCAAAATTAGGTAAAGTATATGCCTTCTGCCATAGGTGAATGGTTGAAAACTAAATAGAGGGATAATTCTACATTATGGTTCCCACAGGGCTATGATAAAAAGAGTGACATTTGCTAATGTGAGTTCCTAGCACCATTTGCATGTGAAATGCCCTGCAAGCAGTGAATAGGCTTCTTAAGTTGAAGTACATGCTTCATTTCCCAATGATAAAAAAACCCCGAAAAACAAAAGTTGTGCTCATTGTTTATTTATTCATTAATGCTCAGATAAAAATACTTTTAATGGGAGGGGGAGAGACGGCTCATCTGTAAACCCAGTTGCTGCCCTTTCAGTGGACCTTAGCTTGGTTGCCAGCATCCAAGTCAGATAGCTCACAAGCTATGGTAATTCCAAATCCATGAGTCCAAAAACTTCTGACCTTCTTTTGCACATGTACAGAGGTATGCAGAGAAAGAGAGAGACAGAGAGAGAGAGAGAGAGAGAGAGAGAGAGAGAGAGAGATAGGCAGACAGACACACACGTGTGCATGCGTACACACATAATAAAGTAGGTACAAATCTTTTAAAAATTCCTTCAAAGAAACTTTCCTTCTACTTTTTTCAAATTACCTGAGATTTTTTCCAGAACTTTTACAATGGTCTTTATTATTCTCATCTTCACAATTGTTTCCTAAAATGCAGTCATAGAAAATTTTGATGAATTAGAAATTAGTGAAAATGTAGTTTGTAGCTTTAGTGTCTATGAACCACGCCTGATTCATACACCACATTCTTTCCTTCCAATATTCCCAATCACAGAGGAGCCTCAATTCCAAGAAATGCTTCTTCCTTAATATGATAAGGGAAGGGGAGATGATATTCTTACCTACAAAAGTGAAGTTCCTGCAGGTTTCCAGCATCACATCTCTGTAGAGGTTCTTCTGAGAAGGATCCAGCAAAGCCCACTCTTCCTGGGTGAAGCTCACAGCAACATCCTCAAACGTCACAGAATCCTAAACATTTCATAGACTCTATTGATAATATGATCTTACAATTCTGTACTATCCACACAATTTGTGCTACAACTCAGAAGTTCTACTACAGGATTTGGGTGGTTCTGAAGGACAGAGCGCTGGAGGGACACTCCTCTCACTGCTGCGCACAGGGCACAGGATGTGCTGCTGCTTTCTACAGCTGTGTCTTTCTACAGCGCATGTCTACTTCCTACCTTAAGAAAGTCCAACCATTTGATGTTCAGAACAGAGGCCAATTAGCATGCAACAGCCTGCTTGCCCTTAGAAATTCTTGCTCATAATGTTTAAGTTTTGACAGCATGAGAAAATTTAACATTTAGTGCAGATTGCATGGACATAAATGATAAATCACCTACCATAAGTGATTTATACAAACTATGTTATGAACAGTTCTCATTCTGAAAGTCTACTACTCTATTCAAAACTCACAGAAATAACTCGAAGATCAGCCCCTGTGACCCCAAATAATAACAGGCATTAAGTCTAATAAGCTTCCCTGGTAGGCACAAATTCATACATATTGTCACACCTTGTTAATCGGGGAAATTAGCCTATTCTATGTGCTTACAGGAGAAATAATGCATATACCTTAAGTAGTTTACTCAAGCATAATTAAAAAATTATTTTACTTATTATTTTTATTTTATGTGTATGAGTGTGTTGCCTGCATGTATGTAAGTAGACCTCTGTTGTGTGCCCTCAGAGGTCAGAATAGAACCTGGGTCCTCTGCAAGAGCAGCCAATGCTCTTAGTGACTGAGCTCTCTCTCCAGTCCCTCAAGCACATTTTTAATCAAATAATAAATATGGTACACAATTAATATTTAAAGATCCTGAGACAATACATTTAAAATTTTTTAATGTGAAATGTGATAAAAGTAAGTATAAAGGTAACAGAATGCTTCAGAATGAACTCAGTGTTATCAATCATGCTGATGTGTGTGTATAGTTACAGCTGCAACAGAGAAGGAGTCAAGTCAGCTTATCCTATGGAGGAAAACACCCATCTCAGGAAGAAAAGAGGAAAAAAAGAGTGGAATTGGGAAGGGCAGGAAGCAGGGTCACCAAAATTCTTGATTTCGTTTTATACTATTAGAGAAAAATTCATGAATTGGCAAAGCAGACAATTTTGTACTGAATAAAAAACTGACTGGGATCAGAAGTGTCTAGCAACTGTCAAAGTCAAAGAACAACACAGTGATGTTTTGTCTAACACACTTCAAGGACTTCCAAAAATAAGGTAAAGACAAAAGACCAAAATTATTGCCACGCTTTAAAAATCAGCCCAGGGAGTCCAAGGCTCTGGATCAGTAGATAAAGGGCTTGCCACAAAAGCTTGATCACCTGAATTTGGTCCCTGGAACCCACACAAAGGACAAAAAGGAAAAAAACAAAACAGAGAAAATAAAAAGTTGTTCCCCTGACAACTGTGACATGCACACACTCATATACATACACATTATACATACAGTAATATTTTAAAACTTAAAAAAAATTAGATCAACTTTTGCAACCTGATCCTTAGTGACCCATGACATAGTGTACACACATCTTGAAACTAATTCATATCGACCAATGGTGCCCTATAAGATAAGCACTCTTTTTCAAAAAACAATTTACTTCTTGTTTTTTAAATTTATGTGTATGAGTATATTGCCTGCATGTGTGTAGGTGCACGGTTGACATCCAATACCCTTGGAGGTCAGAAGAGGGCATCAGATCCCCTGGAACTGGAGCTACAGATGGTTGTTAGCTGCTATATGTGTGCTGGGGGTTGAACCTGGGTCCTCTGCTAAAGCAGTCAGTGCTCTTAACTACTAAGCCATCTCTTCAGCCCTGATAAACACTCTTAAAATAAGTTAAAATCTTCAATTTCAGTCTCAACAAAATGGCATGTACTGCAGCAGAATGCCAGATATAGACACTGATTTGAGAAAAATCAGTTGGCTAGGCCTTCACCTCCCCAGAAGACTTTTCCACAGAAGACAAAGCTAGTACCTTTATGTACATCACAGCCAGATCCGTACATCTTTCCATCCAGATACCCAATACGTGACTCCAAAATGAAACTGGGTTTCACTTCCATGAGGCAGAAATCCATTGTTCTGAATGGGATGCCATTGCTTAGAGTGTTGAGAAAAGTTCCTTTCACATAACTGGGAGATCTGTCACACCTACACCTGCCTTTTTCACTGTCACTACACATAATTGGAACCTACGATGGACCCTGCATACTCCATACCCTCACCTGGGGGAAGGATTCAAAATTTGTATAAATCTGAACCTCAGACCTTTTCATGGGCAGATGGTACCATGTCTATTCATACCACAGAGTATGACACTCAATAGAAATGATTCTGCCAAAGTCGAGTTTAGAAATTTACTGCACTTACAGAAAATGGGTGAGGGGTTACTTACAGGAGTATGGCTGACAGAAACACAGCCATATCACTGAAAACCCCTGTACCCCCTTTGTGTAGTGACTATCAAAAGCTCCATCTAGAAAGGTTCCTGAAAAACTACTGGGGAACTTCAAGGCCAGAGAGTCAGCATCTTCAGTATTTGTTAGCGTTTAAATGTTAATCTTTATGTATATAATGTTGGCAAGGGGCACCGTGAACCTTGTTTCAGGAGATTATTGAGCCTCCTAACTTTACTTTTAAAAGTACATTATTTATCTTTATGTGTACGTGTGCAGTTCTGAGTGGATGCCATGTGTATTTAGTTCCCTCAGAGGCCAGAAAAGGATGTCAGATTCTCTGGAACTGGAGTTACAAGCAGTTGTGAGCCCCTGACATGGCTGCTGGAAACTGAACTCTGGTTCTCTAGATGAGCAGCAAGTGCTGTGAACTGCTGAGCCATCTCTCCAGCCTCCTAAGTTCACTTTTTTTTTTTTTTTGGTCTTCTTGAGACAGGGTCTCCCTGTAGCCCCAGCTAGCCTAAAACACTATGAAGACCAGGCTGGTCTTGAACTCAGAGCTCTGCCTGCCTCTTCCTCCAGAGTGCTGGGATTAAACATTGGGATTAAAGGCTTGGCCACCATGCTTGGTTACTTTTTAAACTTTACAAACCTCACTATACCCTTCCTGAGAAAATATTAATTTAGAAGAAATACCTATAAGAAAGTCCATCCCTACCTCAGGCTCTTAGATTTTTTTTTTTTTCTGGCCATTTTTCTGACATGTTCTCTGAGGCCCTATTTGTATCCTTCTGTGCTCTGATGACATCTAACACGAAGGACAAAGGTGTAAGTGGGCAAACATTCAGCCCATTCTCAAAGCAATCTTCTGATAAAACAATCCCCATTAAAATTCTGAAAACATTTATCACAGAAATTGAAAAAAAGAATCTCAATTTTTATTGAGAAGCACAAAAACAAAAACAAACAAACAAACAAAACAGGATAGCCAAAATAATCCTCAATAATAAAAGAACTGCCAGAGACATTACTGTCCCTAATCTCAAATAATAACATAGAGCTATAGTAATAAAAACAAACGGTGGGCTATGGCACTGATGGCAGGGATCTCAAAGCTTAGCCAAGATGTGGGAGAGAAAGAGCCCACCAGCATGCATGCCTTTGTAAGTGATTCTCTCCTGAACAGCATAAGCTTTGTTGGCAAGCCCAAATAAATATTCTTTTTCCCCAAACTGTAACTTACTCATACTTGTAAACTCAGCACTCTGGAAACTGAGGAAGGAGCATCACCATGACTTCAAGGCCAGATTGGTAAACACATTTATACACATACATATACATATGTATATGTATATGTATTAATAAAACTGATAACTCTACAGCCAAGAAGACACAAATGTTACTTATTAGAGGCCCATCATTAACATGAATGTTAAAAGTACCTGGAAGAAGTGAATTTCTCCTTGCTGTGATCAAATACCTGACAAGAAATTTAAAAGGACAACAGAGGAAGGATACATCTGGGCTTATATTGGAAGAAGGGCTACAGCGCATCTGGGTGGGGAAGCATGGCTAGCTGTTTACACAGCTCACCAATCAGAAAGCAGGCCTTAAGAGGAGCAGAGGAAGATCCATTAGGCTAGACCATTGGGATGACACAGGGATCTGGTCAATCTTAAAAGCGTCCTACAGGAATAAAGACCACTCAAAGCTCTTTGGATCTGGTATTCTCAAGTCAAGTTCAAATCTCTGATTGCAATCAAGCTGCAAGGTCCATTTCTATTGAGGGAGAGAGAGAAGGATAGAGACAGATAGGGAAAGTCAAAGGTTTCTTAAGATGGCAACAACTTGTTCCCAGGAGACACTGGTGGAGAGTGGCAGGGAAGAAGAGTCCACTGGGTTGGACATCTGAGCAGGACCAATAGTGAGGATGGGAATGGGAGGATCCAGTGACCACATAAGACCCTGGACCCAGGGCCAGCTCAGTAGACTCTCAGCTCTGGGACCCTTCCCTTTCCAAAAGGGAGCTGTTTGCTGACTTCAATAAAGCTGTTTCTGTTGCTTTTTTCATATTTTTGTTTTCTGTCTCTCCCAGTCCATTCTTTGCCTCTCTCATAAATGAACATTCCTATTCCCATGACGATCACCCCATCTGTTCAACATGGGTCCATCTGGCTTCCTACAGAAGTTTATGAGCATGACTCCTGTGATCCTCTTGGGATCTCCATTTACTTTCTGTTGAGAATCACTTGATATTCACCCTCACAGTTCTCCAGACCCTAATGAATAGCCAATACCTCTCACCTTTCTGGGCTCTCTCATATAGACTTAAATTTTATGCAGTATTTCCTTTATCCACCCCATGTCCTACAGAACACTGCCACTCACCTCAGGAAATTCATCCTGACCGTGTTCCTCCATGGAGACCTCTGAAATATTCCTGGATCAAGGGTAAACTTTCCTAAAAGTTACAAAGCACATCTTTACTGCAGTTGTAAAGGCTGCCTACCTGCCTCGAAACAGTCCTAACAACATGGCTCGACTCTGTACTGGGTTTGGGCATCTTAACTGCCTGATTTCTACAGTCACACTTCTTACCTGACAGATAAAAATCCCAGTATCAGGTTGCTTTTAACCATCCCACATCCTGTTATTCCTGATCCTGCCTGAAACATAATCCGACCACCTTCTCTAAGAGTCTATGAGCTCTTCACACACCACATCTGAACCCTCATGGAGGATTGCAGATTTGACTGCTCTAACATCCTAATTAGACCTGGGATGTCTACCCAACCATTCCATGAAAATGGACTCCAGGGCTGGAGAGATGGGTCAGCAGTTAAGAGCACATGGTGCTCTTTCAGAGGATCAAGGATCACTTCCCAGCACACACATGGTGGCTAATACCCATCTGTAACTCCAGTTCCAGGGAATCCAATGTCCTCTTCCCCCCTCCATGGGCACTGCACACACATGGTGTATGTACATACATGCAGGAAAAACATTCAAAAACATAAAATAAAATAAAATAATTTTTTAATGGTCTCAGTTAAAAGTCATCCCACCGGAATCTTATCCAACTGGCCCCTATGTTGTTGCATGTATCACCATTCAAACACTCATAGACAAATGTAACCACAAACTCAGCTTCCTGAATTTCTTACTCTTCACATGAAAGCAGTTTGATCAGATGTTGT